GCCGGTAAGCGCCCAGGGGGCAAGGGTGGTTGGTGTTAGCCCCCCTCTGAGCCGGTCAGCGGGAATTTGGGTCCGTCTGTGCCCCTCAGTGCTCTTTCCGAAATCAAGCTCACTGCTGGGGAGAGGAGAGCAGTGCTTTAACCCTTCGCTGACTGCACTGCCCAGCTGCAAAAATGAGGGGCGAAATTCCCGGGGCAAGGCTGGTTGAGGCAAGTGCTAGCCGCACCCTGGTCCTGGTGCAGACTTGGAGGCTTTGCGAGGGAAGAAGGTTTTGTGAAGAGGTGAGCAGGCCAGGCCCCGCCGGGACTCATCCCCTGCCTGCGCACGGCATCGGTTGGGATGGAGCAAAGGGGGTACGCGGGTCAGGACAGCCCTGAGGGGACCTGTGGGTGCTGACATGATACTGGGAAATCAAGACCAGGAAGGGGATTTCTGCCTGGTTTTAAGCTTGCATGTGGCAAGAGCAGCAGCTCTGGCACCCCCGTGTCCAGCGGCAGAGCACAGCAGTCGGGAGCAGCAGTACTTCCTCCCCCAGCTGCTCACCCCGGTGCTGGGGGCCTCAGCAGCTCGGCATCCATGGTTTGTGAGCCTGCAAGGAGGGTGGACGGGTCCTGGCTTGGAGTTACCTCCCTAAGCTCAGCTAGAAGCAAGGGGAGCTGAGCTGCTCAGGTGATGGAGCCAGCGCAGGGACTGCAGGCTCTCCCCTGCACAGCCAGCTCAGCTGAGCCTTACCATCAGCCCGTTGCTCCTCTTCTGAATCCTCAACGGAAGCAGCTGCTTTGCAGCCTGCGAAGCCGTGGCCGAGGTCAGGTGGCAGCCAGACCACACGCTGCCAAACTGCCCAGCCTAGAAGTGCTCCTTACCTGCTCCAGCTCCTCCTCAAGTTCTCCATGCCTTGCTCCACAGCTTACGCAGGACTTTGCCCTTCCGACCTTCTCCTTGTTCCCAAGGAGGCAGCTCCTGCGCCTGGGGACAGGGCTGGGTGGTGAGGATAGTGATGGCCAGGCCACCCCGGCCAGGCTGGTTGGCACCGCCGGGTCCGGTATCTCGGTCCTGCCAAAGCAGCCCCGGGAGAACGAGGGCAGGTAAAGACCCAGAAGGCTCTAATGGCTCCAAAGTGCCAAAATCGACCTCAAAAGAAATCGCTTCGCTCGAAGTGGTGGGAACAGCTTTGAGACGTTGATTTGGGTCTTCACCACAAGTGGAAAACCTTCCAAGTACGGGTGCAGCGATCTCCTGGGGAGCTGGGGGCTGTGTTGCGTGTGCACGGCTGGCCCCGGTCGTCCGTGCAGGAGGGTGTGAAGGGCCATTCGAAAAGGCAGCTGCGGGATCTGCATTACGGACACGTCGCACAGCCGCTCCGCGTGGCAGAAGCCAGGTGGAGACACGACCTCGCCGGGAGGTAAGTGCAAGGGATACGGCCTTTAAACATCCGTCTTGGTGACTAATGCGGGCAGGAAGGTGGAGTGTGGTTGGGGCTGGAACACCGGACAGACAAGGAGAGGTCAAGTTGGGGTGCTCAGCCCTAGAGAAGACCATAACCTGAAGGAACTTGCACGGGACCAGCAGCTCCAGCTGATTTCCCAGTGAGGCTTGAAGTGGTGCCACAGGCTGCTGAGACAGCGGAGACCATAAAATATTAGTTTGCAGAACTATTTTCTGTGATGAAAAGTGACACAGCCCAAACAAAAGGGCTTGCAGCCACTTCCCCTCCGCTGACGTCTTTGCTCTGGCCAAGCATTTGCTCCGAGGTTGGCTCCACACCAGCTCCAGACTGACATTTTGCAGCCAGCGTGTAATTCCCTCACGCCGGAGGAGCCAGCAGGCGGAAGGTGTCTCAGCCAGTATTTATGTTGTTTGCATTGATCCAAGCCCCAGACACAGAGCTTTTTTTTTCCTCCTTTCCATTTCTTCCCCTTGGCCGCACTCCGGCCCCGCTCTGCAGCGGAGGAGCACTCCGGACCTCGCACCCCACCCTGCTGCTGCAAGCGCTCACCTGCTCCACCGTTTCGGACAAACCCAGACCATCACACAGGTTGATCTCCCAGCGTGCCGGGAAGACGTGGAGCTCAGCTGAGCACTGATGGCAACTTTAGCTGCAAAATGGGTTTTCTGCCCACAGTGTCACTTCCCTAGAGAGTTTCTAAAACCATTGCGGGGTCAGGTCTGTACCGAATGAAGCATTTCACACGTTGGCAGCGAGCGGTGCACCTGGGACTCGGGACCTGGCTCCTCCGAGAGGTCATTTTTCTCTGGGATGAGTGGTTTGGCCAGAGACACCAATGACAACTGAGCAGCCTGTTCCTCAAGGACGTGGATTCTTTCCTAGAAAAACGAGAGAGCAGATGCCAATCAGCCCAGCAAGGTCTTCCCCTTTCTGTCCCTGTGTAGGAGCACCGGGAAGGGCTCAGAGATGTTGTTAATCCAAAAGCCTTCTCCCTCCACGAGCATCCTTCCATGGAGTGTATTGTGCTGGTACAGTCCTTGGTGTCAGGCCAGGCAAAACAGCTTCCCTTCCGACTCGTACCTGCGCTGCCTGCCTCAGTACTTTTCCATTTCGCTGCTAGTCTGATGGACAGCGCTTCCCAAAAGACACAGACCTGGCGGTAAATCGTGCTCAGGCAAGATTCAGAGAGCAGCTTGTAGCCCGGAGGGTCGGGCACCTTGTCGTATGTGTACGTCTAAACCCGGGACTAGAAAGTCAAACCCCTGCGATACTGGTTTGACTGCGAACGTTACGTGCTCCGTTGCCGGCTGTGTGTTGCCAGCGCCGTGCTGGAATATTGATTCAGGACCATTGTAGAGGGAATTCAATTAACTGAATTACCTTCTTCCCAGCACGGCATGGTTTCAGATAAGATTTTATTATGCAGGAGCCATCCCCGCTTTTCATTAATGTAATAACTGCGGCGAGAAGCGTAAGGGTGCAGGGGAAGATAGGAGGGGCAAGACGCTGAGAAGAGAAAGCAAGGATTAGCTTCACCGGCTGTGATTACAGCATGAGATTCTGTACAAGATAAAACCCAGCACCAGTATTTCATGTGGATTTTCTTCCCTGTGCAGCAGACAATCACGTAACTGCTCTGAACCGCCGCACTGACTGGAGCCGCGCGTGGTTCCGTCTAGCGGGGATGACGTCTCCGGTGGGTGCGTTTTTCAGCTGGAAGAGGTGTTGGGTGAACAGCGCGGCTGCTCTTCAGTCAGCTGCTGCAGCAGGATGGTTTGTGGGCACTGACGACCTGGGCAAGATTATTGCAGAAAAGAATTTAAACAATGAGCAGCAGCATGAACCTGCTGTAATTCATCAAGATTTTTTCCAATCCCGATACACTGGTAATTCAAAATCTCATGAAAACAGTTGGTACGCCAAGCGCTCTGTTCGTAGCTCAGAGCTCTGCATTTCAAGCTGACTACAGCCACAGCTACGATCCGTTTTAAGCTTTCACGCGTAGCTGGCTCACGCTGGTGAACGACTGAGAGAAGCCATTCCGAGATCGATAGCGTGTGCCGAGACAGCTGGAAGCACACCAGCGCCGTGCTACGATTGCAAGAGGCAGGTCCTGTCTCTCTCGTTTTGACCTGAGATACTTCTTCTATAAAAAGCAGTTTCCTCAGACCCAGAATATTCCTGACTTCCCGCTCACCGAACTGGCATTTTCCTCTCTTGGCTTGGAAGCCCGTAACCGGTTCCAGCCTTCTGAAGCGTACAGCGTGCGCTAACGATCACCAAAATAGCTCACTGGTGTGTCCAAGCCCTGAATTCATCCGTTTGCCACCGGCGCAGGGGTGGTACAAGAAGTGTGTGTGACAGGGCCGGAGGAGTTCCGCTGGGACCCAGGCAGGCTGTCTACCCTACCTGCAGCAGCCCATGCCTCTGGCTGTCCTGAAAGAGACCCCCAGGCTCCTGAAGTCTGGAAAGTTGTTCCACTTCCAGTCTTAGAAATTCCACCTGGGAACTCAGCTGGTCGTTTTTTCTGAAGGAGACACAGGGAGAAGGTTGAGCAAAATCAGCAAAACTCATTTTGCACAATGAGCTTTCAAGTGCTGCTGCACTGAACATCTTTCTGGGAGGCAGGGCTGTCTGAGAGGCAAGAGGGGCTGCGGGATTGCTGAGCCAGAGCAGCAATGTGAGGGGCTGTGGACCATCCTTTGTTACCCAAAGTCTTTAGAACTCAGGGCTGTAGGAGTGGCTAAAGCCCACCCGGCAGTTCAGTGTCACCATCCTGACCCTGCAGCGCCCAGGGCGCCGAACCGCGTGGCCTCTGCTCTGGGGTGGGTCACAGGAGATGCTCGAGCCTCCCCGGCCACCAAACCTGTGAGGCTACCTCAGATTACATCGCTCCTGTGACCTTTATACCGCCGATGAAGCGCGCCAGAGAAATGGGGATGAAGGTTTGGGCCGCTGTCAGTTTGTCTGTCTGAGGGCAAGGACAGATTGAAAATACTCGACAATGACATTCATTTTGTAGGAAAACGTGTTTTGGTCCTTCAGCAGTCCGGGTGTCCACCCTGTGACGTTGCAGGTGCCTTTTTACGCCACAGTGATCTCACTCGTGCTGCGCAGGGACTCGAAGCCCCCAGCCAAGGCAGATACGGCCGCGCTGGCCCTGGCCTCGTGCGTGCGTGGTTGCATCACGTCACTCCTCGTGAGCCTCGTAAAGCCACATCAGCCACCTTCACGTGATGCCCAGCAGGCCACAGACGAATCCTTCCGTTTTGCCCTGCTCTCGGTGGGTGTTTGATCTCCTGAGACGCGATAACTTGGAGCAGCCGCCTGATCCGTCGCCTCCTGCAAGGTGGACGCTGACACACGGCTCTCCGCCAGCTCTTCGCCAGCCGCTGCAGCAGATAATCCGTCTGTGATGAGACAGGGCAACACAGAACGTAACAAAATCCCCAAAATCACAAAGGGTCACAAACGTTGAGAGACACAACTCACTTTTCCACAGTTTTGCCGGTGTCTGGTGGGTCCCTGGCAGCCTTTCCAGCGGCGCCGGCGAGCCCTCTGAAGAGTGCACAGTGTCGATGGGGGTGACGTGGTGTGAGTTCAAGCGAACCCGTGTGTCGCTGCTTTGAAGTGTGTGTTTAAAACACACTTCTAAAGAAAAAAAAAAAACCATCTGCACAGGCGGGCAAAAATAATGAAACCTAAGCAAACCGTAAAAGCTGAAACACCAAAAGACATTCAAGCCTTTTGGCAGGGAGCTTCGGTGATGTCAGAAAACAAATCTAAACAGAAATGTTTCTATGGATTTGGTTTTTTTTTCTGAGACCTAATTGGAAACACATTTTTAGTGTTGGATTTAAACATTTCCCTGCAGCATCTGCAACGCTATCCCTGCATTATGCATCTTTGTCTCCAGCATCGAGGACGAGGCTATAGAGCAGGGGAGGAAATATCAAAATATCAATGCACTTTTTTATTTAATGCTGACCGTGTCCCCAGAGAAAGCTTAAAAATATTAATGAGCACTCCTATACCATTATCTAAAGCCCGTGTTAAAATATTTTTGTTAAAAAACCTAAAAATCCTGAATGTTATCAATGATTAGCCAAGTAACGAGCTGTCATATTGCAGATTTCCTTGGCTTTTTTTTATTCCTCGGGTCTTGCTTCTCACCTGTTTCCTATTTGATGGAAGAAGACAACACAAACAGCATCTAATTAACAACATCTGTCACATTACCATTGTGTTAATTGACTTCTAAGAGAAACTGTGGCCATGCCCCTTCCTCTGGGGCTTTGAGAAGCTCAGCCCTTGCAGTGGGATGGTTCCAGCCCTCGTTGGGATCCTCGTTTGGGAGTTTCCTGGTCCTGTCACGGAGGTCACAAAACCCTGGAGTGCAGGTAAAATAGATCCTGAAGTACCTCACGGTGAAGGCTTCTAAAGCCAGGAAAAGGGTTGTAATTGCGATTCGTTAATCATGCTCTCACAGCATCTGCTCTGGCTTTACACCCACCTCTGTGGGGACAGGTAACCTTGTCCTTGTGTGCCCACCATCACCCCAAGCCCCTCTGCTGTCCGTGACTCCCCTACCCCAACCTCGGGACTGCTGTCACCCGCCCCCCAGCTTTGTCACCCTCATCACACCCGGCTGTCCCCCGTGGGACTCTTGCCTGTCACCTCACGGTGCCGCCACGTTGGGACTGGCCTGGGGGCCTCCGGCCTGCTGAGGCGAGGCAGCAGAGATCGGGATGACCCTCTCCCAGGCCCAGGTGTCTATTGTGGGAGCCTGGAAGAAGCCTCCCTCTCTCCCCAAGGAAAGCCGGCAGCGTGTGTTTCACAGCTGGAAAAATGGAAAAAACCCTGTAGCAACCCCCTCCACCAAAGCGGAGCATTTTGTGCTGCTTTGAGTCAGGCTAGCACAAGGCCTGTGGGGATGGAGGGGCACCAGGCATGGCTGGGAGCAGGGGTGGAAGGGGGTGACCCCCTTCTGCGCAGGGCTGGGCTGCCAGCTCCGTGCTGATGCCCACGAATTGGCAGCCTGAGCCAAGCGAATTGCCTGATGCGCGTCCGGAAGCAGTTTCCTTGGAGCAGTGGTACCAGCGGGTGGGTTTTGGCGGTGCTGGGCTCTCCTCCCTGCCACACCCAATTGGGAATGAACCTTAGAAATAGCAAGATTTTAGTACCTTGTTGGTTTTATTTTAATAATTTTCATCTTTCTTGCTTGAACAGTTTTTGTGGTTTGTGGGTGGGTTTTTTCGTGTGTGTTGCATTCAAATATTTAATTTGTTTTGAAACTGCTGGGTAGTGTCAGTGTTGAGAAGTTGATGACGCGGTATCTATGAAAAAGTCGCAGCTAAGCACACTTTGAGGGGAATGTAACTGTAGTTCTCCACAGCAGCACCTGCGTCGTGTCCGTTTTGACTACGAGCTCTCTCCAGAAACTACAAACTTCGATTCTTGCATTCACTGGGGATGGGTTTTTCCCCGTCCTTTTCCGGATTTCCTTTTGACTCCCTGTTCTGTAGCCACTGGTATGAGAAATAGCCTAAAAGCATTCCAGACATCAGGGACCCTCTTCCACCACCTTTGCTTACTGCCTGCAGGAAAGGCGTTGGTCATTGTCAGCACAAACTCTGTTCCCTTGGCTTTGGAGGTTTGCTGCCGTGGCAAAGGCAGGCAGGCTTTTTGTGCTTTCAGGCTGGAATTGACTTTTCTGTCCATTTTAGCAGCCCACAGGCTAATCCATATGTCAGCGTGATACAAGAACATGAAAAAATCGGCTACAGGCCGTAACTGTGTGTTCTTGTCCCGCTTCAGGTGAATTTTCTCTCGGTTTAGCTGACAGCCACCTAGGTGCTTACTAAGCATCCTTCCACCGTGGTGCGTTGTTTTTTTTCCTGTCTTGTCAAGAGGATTGTGCCCCACATAGTGATAAATATCTGCACCTTAAAATAGCAACTGACTGCACAGAACGGCGTCTGTCGGCACACAGGTTGCGTGGGGCGGTGTAGGGCATTTGTTTCCCGTTTGTTCTTTTTATTTTAACGTTTCAGGACGGCGTTTGTCATTTTTCACTTGCTCTTCTATGTGACAAACTCAGCGTAAATGTAGACCAGGCCGTTCCAGGAGTTAACCGTGAGTCCTACACCGTGTGACACTTCGCAGTTTGCCGAGTTGTCAAGACCCGCGACCACAAACGCAGATTAATTAAGGAATGTGCACACGCAAGTGAATGGGAAGGTAATGCTCTAGGTCATTTCCCCCATTTTTTTGTCAAGCTACCACAGAATGGAAACTAAAATGCAAAGTCCAATGGAGTTTTTAAATAAAATGACTCATTTTTTCAGAGTTTACACGTTCATTCTTGCCTCTTGATAATTATTGCCTCTAAGATTATTTATTGACCAACATGGTTTTGTATTTAGGCATGTATTTTTTTGAGGCAATAATGAAGATCATTACATGCAGATTTCAAAATTATCTTTTTTTCAGCTCTGCTGAATGGAACTTATTATATGAGCAAGCATTCATTTTGCAGCTGACACCCTTTTTACAGGCAAAGTGGGATATTCCGTGTGGGTTTTCCGTAATATTTTTTTCATTCTTAGATAATACTGTCTGTAGAAGAGTGTCAAGGATTTTGTGGCTATAACTTTCTCGATGCTTACGGTAGGTACCCAGACAAACAGCTTCCACATTCAACCCATCAGAGTACAGAAAATGTTACAAATTTCACGCTTGACCTTTCTGTAAGAGCTCATTCAAAAGTCATTACTTTTTTATTGTAATTGTTTTATTTGTAATTGCAGTATTCTTTACTGTAATCACTGTGTAGTTTCGCGTTGTACCAGGGAAGCTTGAGCCCATACTGCCTGGCTGGATGAAACGTGTGTTTTCAGAGAAGAGTTTGGGTTGGAAGTGACCTTTAAAGGTCATCTGGTCCACCCCCCCTGAGATGCGCAGGGACATGAATATTTGCATTTCCTCTAAGTTTAATCTAAACCCCACATTTCTTTTGGAATGTGAATGCCTGTGGGTACAAGCTTTTCTGAAGCCACAGGAAGATGCTTTAGAATGTTAGCTGAGACAACAAATGCCAGCAGAGAGCAGAGACTGTGAAACAAGATTTCTTGCAAACGCTTCCATTTCAAAGCAGAATGAGCAGCATTGCCTGAATACAACTAGTCAGTGACCTACACCTACTTCTGGGGACTGTTACCAGACAGAAGTGACCCACAGGTCCCTCTGACTGTGTTTTCCACAGACGTACCGTTACCCCCTTGCTTTATTAACTGGCTGTTGTGGGTGACTGAGCATTGGAGTAGTAACTTGAGGTTGTAGGTGAAACGCAGACAAGTCCACGCTGGATTTAGGGAGTACTACTCATGGTTTTGGATAATTTCACGTGCTGCACTTGTCAGTCTTATTCATGACCGAGCTAATTAGCCAAATCCAGTTCCTTCAAGCTCAGGGAGTCCAAGGTACTTTCACCTGAACATGTTCTGCGTAAAAGAAACCTGGCTGTCTTTAACTCTCGCTTTCTGATGTCGACTTTTCTTGCAACTCTTGCTATTAAACCAAGGCATCTATTTCTGACTTCCAGCCCAAGTGCATTTATAGCCACATCCTACTCTTGCCAAAACTGACCTTAAATGCTGTTCCCACTATGGTTTGCCCCCTCTTCTCCCCCAGCGCATTTATGGAAAGATCACGACACTTTCTATCAACCTTTATTGTGGGTTTGGTTTTTTAACAAAAATTAACACGTTTCTCTAACCTAGTGATTTTTCTTATTGCCTATCCCCACTTCCCCACACTCATGGAATTTAGGTCAGAAGAGGTCTCTGGAGCTATTTGAGTCCGGGTCCCTGCTCAGAGTAGGTCGGGTTGCTCAGGACCTTGCCAAGGAAAACCTTGACTATCTCCAAGGATGGAGATCCTGCAGCCTTTCTGGACTCCTGCTTCTTATTT